CACACTTGGATCTTCAGAAACGATAACATGTATTTGCTCAATGATTTCTGGTGTTGATGCGCTTTTTGGACGTCCACTACGTGGATCATCTTCAATGCTTGTACGACCACGTTGAAACTCAAGTGCCCATTTACAAACCATTGTTTTTGAAGGAGCAGATTCCCCTAACATATTTACCATCTCGGAATGAATTTCCATTGCCTTTAAACCTTTTTTAACAAAGAACTCAATTACTGCACACTGTTTCAAATTTTCCATGGCAAACAAATACACTGACACGTCAACTTCAATTGGCTTATAAACACAGAAAGAATTGACAGATGGAAGTGAAACCTAACCTAGGTTCATGTGAAGAGTGATTCTATATAACCGACTATAATTTATAATTCTACCATTTACTTATAGATGCCGCTCCGCGAACTTTTCACGCAACCTGTAGGATGAGACATTGGATGCATTCAGTACTACAACCGCTCACTGAGCGCTCAATGAGCTTTTACATTTGTTTGGTATATTCCTTTAGATTTAAAAATATACACCAATCAGATGCAAGAGCTCACTTAGCGCCCAGTGAGCGGTTGTAGTACTGAATGCACCCAATGTTCAACAACATATGAGTGTTTATATAGAGCGGTATTTTTAAGTACCGCCGGAATATAAAGGGTTAAAACAAATAATTTTTCACAACTCCGACAATATTAATTTTTCAATCCATGTTTATTGAGACTTTTTCCCACATTTCATAAATACTATCTGCCCTTAAATCTGTCCCGAGTCTTTTTTTTAATACCCTATATTTATCGCATCAGGTAAACCCTTTGCGTCGAAATGACGCATTTCGCATCTGCCGAATCTGCGCATCGCTGTCAAATACTTAACCTGATCTTTTTACTTTGCAATGACAAAACCTTCAGGAAAATTTAGCAAGATTGTGTAAAATATGTTCCAATTTATAACTCTATTTAATCTTATTTAATTTTTCAATAATAATTCTAATAATTTCTTGTATAGTTTTTCAATAAAATAATCTTATCTCACATAAATCTTATCTAATTATTTTTGTGAATTTTGTGAAGAAATTTAAATACTGTAAATAAATTGATATTGATTGACAATAAAAGCATATATCTCATCTCAATATAGTAAATGCACCATTTCACCGTCAACTGAATGCTAACTCATATAATACGAAACATTTTAGTCTCGTTGTAAACATACCCAACATTTCTAGAAACTGCCCCATAATGTCCCAAGTACATTCAGAATGAGTTCAGTTTATCCTACACGCGAATGCAAAGGGTTGAATAACATTTAAAGTTGCTATATAAATTTAAAATAAACAGATCTCGGAAAAGTATTTAGACAGATTTCCGGAAAAATGTAGTTTGCAAAAATACATTTTCCGAGGAATATATCAGTCAATAAGGAATATTTAGTAATTTGGATGCTATTAATATAGTTAGTCGGGGACAACTAAATATCGACAATAAAATCTAAACTGTCCAATTGAAATCTTAACATTTGGCACCTTTAGTGACAACGGGGAATAAGTATGTGAGAAATTTACGCGTGAAAAAAAGATTTCACGAGAACAACGACGATGACAACAATGGCGACGGCATCGTTACCTAATTAATCACGGGAATCGTTATCAGCGATACGATCATCATTAAGATCGTCTTCGTTCGACAACACGATCGAGCTGCATTTATCGCGAGTCAGCAACCTTCGAAGCGACCTTCGAAAGACAGCCGGCAGCTCAACGAGAAAGCATCATCATTGAACGGCCAATGAGTCGATTTAATTCCCACATCCTTTTTCCCACTTACGCGTCGTCCTCTCTGCTGGCGAAAAGGATTTTGCATTAATTGCATAGGTGGGGAATACGCATATCAGGAAGTGCCGCGGTAAGATGTACCTTACGTAGAGGACTTATAAATATCCCCGTGTACACGCTCAATATCGATTTTTAATATACATTTACCTTATAAATATTAATTTCAAAGAAGATGGAGGCGCGCGTACACTCGATAAACATTATTCTACGTACGTAACGTCTACCCACGACTATCCATGCGTTATCCGACTATCTTGCTATCTATCCATCCGCTCGTTCGACTAACCTGTCAGCGCGATGCATTATATCAACTTACACGGTCTCCAGGAATATCGCTTCCGCCGCCAGAATACTAAACACCAGCCTGTTTCGCTTACCCACTTCCTTGGGGATCATCGGGACTGCGATATCCACTGAAACGTCAACGTACCAATAACCAGCCTCGTCGCATCGTACGAACCTCCGAGACAAAATTTAGGTTGCTTTGTCGTGTGTCATGAAAGTAATCATAGAATAGGCGATTTCCGGCTCGGAGTACGTTGAAGGGGACACACGCGTGTCGAGTATCGTACCTCTTTAATCTCTACTTCAATCTCTACAATCGATCGGTATTTTGTTGAACCTACTCCAGCACTGTGTTCGATGTCTAACGCTGCACGGACACATACGAGGTCTGTCCGGAAAGTGTCCGACCTCGTGCTCTAACTTTGAACCTACCCAAGTCAGAACCATAACGTTGATTCAACGTTGATTTGACATTGGAATAATCGATAAACCGTTGAATCAACGTTAATTCGACCTTCATCGACGTCGAATCAACATTATGATTCTGACCGGGTAAGAGTGCTATTGTCAAAAACAGGTATTTAGGGTGAACTTTCATGAGTACACCCACCATCAAACGGCACGACGCAACAGCTGTTCAGTCAGCAACGGTCACAGACTTCTATATCATACCAGACCGATAACTGGTCTCTTTAACATGTCCCCTAAAATTATGTATTAAAATTTCGCGCGTGCGCATTGTAAGGTCCCGAAAAGAATGCAACTACACCGTACAAGCATTTTTATTCCAGAGAATGTTAATATTTATCTAATATTTAATATTTCCTCTTGCAATGTGTCACGTTCAACGATACACTCAATATTCGCATTCAATGTTCACTCAATATATAGAGTACTAACGGGATCTTGCAATGCGCATATTTTATATTTTACACAAGGGTCATTTTTATGAAAACCAATGGAAGTTCTCAGTCTAGCTTATATAAAGAAATCTGTGGCAACGGTACATGTTGTGTCGAACCTCGCGCGCATCGCATTTCATAATGACCGAATGCATCGAACAAGGATCCGCATTAAATTTTGCCAAAAACTTGGCCATTCTTGTTCAGAAATCATCGCTATGATTCATAAAGTGTATGCTAATGAATCTATAAGTGATACTCAAGAAGAGCAACGACCCAAGAATGAGCGTCAGAGCAATATCAAGGCAATACTCAGTGTTTTTTCGGAACCAGGAAGGTGTTGCTCATCATGATTACGCTCCAGGTCAGACGAGGTACAAACAGTATTACCTAAAAGTTCTGAAGCGATTACATGACGCAATAAGAAGGAAATGGATTTGTGGAAAAGTGGCGACTGGGTGCTTCATCACGACAACACAGCTGCCCATTCGTCGCAACTTATCCAGCAATTTCTGGCGAAACACGGAATTGTTCAACTTCGTCAGTCCTCTACAGTCCTGATCTGACTCCCTGCAACTTCTGGCTGTTCCCCAAATTGAAAAATCTTCTAAAAGGAAGAAGATTTGATGGCATAGAGGAAGTAGAAAGGAATGCGACGAAGCAATCATTAACTATTTCGAAAGCTGGATATAAAGAGTGCTTCCGACAGTGGGAGGATCGCTGGAAGAAGGAAAGTACTTGGAAGGGGAGGGGGGAGACATCGTTGCCATTGCCCAGAATTAACTCTTTCTCCTGCTACAGCGCAAGGTCGGATACTTTCCGAACAGACTTCATACAATGTTTCATCGTCAAGACGTAACAATTTTTGCGTCTACGACGAGAGCGCTTTGGTCTCCGTTGAGCTGAAAATCCGCGTAACAGTGATGTCGAGCATTTCTTGATTGAAATTTTAATCGACTGAGACGATTAAAATTAACGTCGTGATTGCACACGTTAATTGTTTCAATCGATCACTTTAAATCGAATAAATTATTTATAATTACATATATACCAATTGCTTTATTTTAATTATTGACTCGCCGATTATTTTAATTAACTAACATATTAACGCATCGATGTCCACAACACTACTGCGTGATACAGAAATCCTATAAGGATCAACAAGAGAAAATCCTTCGCCCGCAAAGTCAACGTGCGCGAGCAATTTGCCTTTTTGAAAAGTAACGCGAACGAGAAATTAGAGCGTAATTTCAGCAGGTGCACAGAGATACAGGGAGGGAAGGAGGGGAGGGAAGAGATTGCAATTTCCGGAAGGCGATCACTAATGTACGTATCGGGCAGTTAGCGGGTACATCGCACAAACACGATAAGGAGTTTGCAACGGGAATTAGTTGGAAGTACGGCTTTACATGACGTTCCAATTAACAATGAAAGGCCGCAGTTCGCAATTAATAGAAGCGTCATGCGGGGCCATTTAAATTTAATACGCCAACAATCGAAGATTCCGAGTACGTAAGACAATTTTCGGAATGTAAAAAATGGTCGAAAATAAGCAAGGCGAAGAATCAGCTTTGCCGCCGGCCGAGTGAAACTTCCAATTTGGGAGGAGAATAATTAAATTGAAACGAGCGAAATTAATTCTCTACGTGCGATACAATACAACTGACGATTCCAGAGATCAGAGATATCCGCTTGCGAAAATACCAGGGAGGAATATTAGGAGATTTTTACCTCTCCGCTGCTATTTCACTCGTGCATTAAACCGCATTAATCGACTGGACTTCCGTTTTGCTCACTGCAAAAGTTGGCGTTCGCGTGGTGTTCTTGCGATATCAAACAATCAAGCTTTCGCGAATCGATCGACAGAATTGCAGAGCAATGTATCAGATCAAGATCGAGCCTCGTTTCGTGAAATGAAATTATCCGTCGGAGGCAATTTCTAGGTCTTACGACAGTTACGAAAAAGAACAATTGAGTACATAACGAATTAATCGTTTATTTTATCCGAATATATATAAATATACATGTAGCAGCCGTGGAAATAAACCGCTTTTGCATATTTAAATACATATATGTAATTGTATACATGTATGTATATAGTTATATACAGTTACATATAGTCCAAATAATGAATAAGTCGGAATCATTACGTCGAATTAACATTACGCTGCAACATTTCATTGAGACTGCTACCTTTTCAATTCGTTAATGGAAAAAAATATTACCTTTCGAGTCGAACGCACTCTGCATCGCGCATCGAGAGGGAGACAAAAGAGGAAAGACAGACATAGACGTCTTGTAGACTTAGACGAATCAGCATAAGCTTCGACTGCATCGAAGGCGAACACGCAACTCCGCACGCGCCGGTTTGATCGGTGTCATTAACTTTTCTAGGCAGCTCTCTGCGCCTTAAAAAGCTGATGCTATATCAGAGCAGAAGAACAACACGATGAGATAATGCGACTTATCGCACGCAGAAAAGAAAAAATCGGGACACGACGAAAAACATGTACTGCCGAGAGATCAATAATCTTGTACGGAATCGTAATTGTTGTACGGAGGCGGGTCAGGTCGACCCTCCGGAATCCGGTATTTCTCCTCCACCTCTTGATCGTTATCGTCCTCATACTTGACGGCGGTGAAGTACGAACCCGACGTCGGGAACGTATTGCTGTAGTCCGGATAATCTGAAAGATAACAAATTCCACGTAAACGTTCGTCTTTGTACCAGTTGAAAAAGAAGGAAAACAACAAAAGTGAATGTTTCCTCGCAAGAAACCTGTCCTATCTCTAATTGAACTCACCGTCCATAGGCTCCTCCTTGATTCGGATCTCCTTCGTGTCCTCATCTTGACGATCACCGCGATCCTTTCTATCCCTGCGATCGCGATCTCGGTCGCGCTTGTCTCGTTTACGGTCCCTCTCACGGTCACGATCGTTGCTTCTCGATCGTCGTCTCTTACGGTCCCTATCGCGATCGCGATCCCGATCGCGATCCCTTCGATCACGCGGTCGTTCTTCCCGCTGAATCTCCTCGATATCAGGATCTGGCAGTCGGTCGCGACTCCGTCTACGTTTACGGTCGCGCGATCTACTTCTGCTCCTTCGCTTACGATCGCGCGATCTCCGACGCTCTCTATCCAAACGATCACGATCCCTAGAACGATTAAACGACACATAAGATCAGATCAGTCTTCATAATTTTTTCTGTAGGGTATCACATTGTCGACGTTCAGAAAACAGAACGCGATAAATTTTTAGAAAATAGATGTCATCGATATATCTAAAAGATCATTAATAATCAGTGTTATATACTTAGATAACTTTTAAATTAATTAGATAGAAAGATCAAATAAAATATATGTAAATTCTCAGCACTCTTGTTCATAAATAAATCTCAATCCAATCTTAGTCTCAATGCCGTTTACGAACATATAAAAACAAATATTTCTTGCAATATTTGCAATAGTTATCGAGTCATGAATTATAAAGATCTGAGGAAGGAGCGTGCGCCAAGATGAATAATTGGAGAAGCATTGCTGCCACTCGTCCCTAATGATGGTGTTACGGATACGACAAACCCGCCCAAAACTAAATAACCGACGTCGGAAAGGACTGAACTTCTAGTCTCGTAAGTTAGACGCTAGACGGCGCATCTATAGGGATATGCGCGCGCATGATCGTGAGAACAATAGACGAGTAAAAAGATCGGAGTTGTTGTCCATGCTCGGCCGAGTCGACATGTGTTTTTGTGTTTCACATCGTAATCCTTCTATCTAGGAAATTATCTCGATTGACGAGAATTGTTACGTTGTGGCGATCGTTGTTCAACAACGTTTACTCGTTTCCTTTATATCATTACGATTCCTGATCAAAATGTTTTTCCAACACAAAAAGAATAGGATGGGAGTTATACAGAGTTTCTCATGCGACTGGAAGGAGGTAGTAAGTCTCTCTCTCTCTCTCTTTCTTTCTCTCTCTCTCTCTCTCTCTCTTAGTCTCTGGCTCGCCTGTAACCCCCTTACTTCGGGGTGAGGTGATAAGGACGAGGACGTATACAGCGCCTCTCTTTCTCAGACTGTAGATCGCCTGGAACCCCTCAGTTCGGGACGACGTATTTAAGACGCATCACTGCGTATCTCTTCCTCTCCATACTTACAACGAACAAACGCAGCCATTGGACCGCTTCTTAGGAATACTATTAGTTATCCTCTTTGCATCTTCGCTGACACGGCAACGGCATTATATTTCTTGGCGCATTCATCTACTCAGCAATGGACTTTCTATTTACTTTTAGCCATGATGGCTAGCCTTAGATGATTCCCAACATTATAGTTGGAATCTGCCATCAGATAAACTTTTGCCTATTCTTAGCTATCGGAACTTCTATTATTATTATTGCATTCTTCGCAGGTTATACACTATTTAATAAACAGACAAGGATAATAAAGACTCTTAGTTCGTCTTTGGCTCTGGCACGTTTAACCAGATATACATAAACTTCATACACATACTATACAGATGAGCTAAACAGCTTTTTTTGCTAAACAGTTATAATAGTTGCTGTTATTTTAAAACAACCGGTTATTTAAACCAGTTATTTGGTTAAACGGTACTAGTAACTTATTATTATATTGAGTTAAATAAGCATAAACGATATTATGTAATTTATATATATATATTTCTTTATTAAAAATTTATAAACAAAGTAATATAATAATGCCAAAGTAGCAAGATAACGTGTTACTAATATCAATAAAACGTCTTGAAACATCATCTTGCTACCAGAGATAGTCTTTTTTAATTAAGTTTTATAATTGAAACGTTAAAGAAAAACGAGACTAATAGAAACTTTTAGAAAGCACAAAAATAGCATAGGCTATTTCATTTTTGTTTCTCAAAAAATAAAAAAATAGTATTATTAATGCTTTACTTAATAGCCTGCAGAATAATAGTAGTGAATATAAATATATATACATTTTTTTTTTTATTCAGGCATCCATTTCATATTACTGTTTAAAAAAAAGTAAAATTTTTGTTTTATTTTCGCTCAAACGATTTCTTCTTTCATTAATTATTAATCCAGCTGGAGAACAAACGTTCACATAGAACTGATGTTCCTAGTGTACACAATTTTTCTGTCACAAACTTTGAAAGACGGGGAAATAAAGCTGAATGATCTTTCCACCAAGATAAAGTACCTGCTTTGAGGTGTAAGATGTCTTCATCTATGTAACGTTATATCTCTACTATATATTCGTGACATTAGAGTTTCTTTAGGTTTTGTAATAGCTACAAGGGTCTTATCAAAAGCAGACGAAACAGAAATGTCTATGTTTTCATTATTTCCTTCTTCAACGTATTGAAATTAATTGCATTTGAGTTATTTTCAACTTCCACTATTAAGTAAAGCACTAGTTCTTTTGCGTTTACAGCATAATTTGGTTGCAAAAAGGTTTAAATGTTTAAAGCGTTTATGTCACGTATGCTACAGATTTTCAGTACTGATGCGTGTATTGCAACGTAACATTAATTAATTAAGCAGTAATTTCGTATTTTAAACATTATTGCTTTTGTAAAATTGTAATTTTATGAAAATAACTGTTTAGTTCGTTAACTGTTATTTTAAAAATTTAATAACCGTTACTAAAATTATTACTCAATAACAGGTAACGAAGTAACATCATTACTCGTCATTACTCGTCCCACAGCATAGCCAAGTCGATCTAGTAACTGTTGCGGGGCGCAGCGAGAGGAAAAATAACCCACCGCTATTCGTGAGCTCGCCATTTCTACGTCTCGCCGCACGCCGCCAACAGTTGCTGGATCGACTGGGCCACACTATAGCCCGATTGGCTTCTCCAATTATCCATCTCGGCAAGCGCTCATTCGTTAGATTTCTGTCATTAATAACTCAATAACTATCCCGAATATCGCAAAACAGTATGGGACTTTTATGTTTGTCTTGATCTGCTTTATGTCTCCACCAATTTCTCATACTGAGTTATAGGACACTCTGCATATATGTGTATGTATATGTTACCAACAATGTATGAGAAGCAAACATTGTATAGAATACTTAGAAAATCTATAGAATATGTAATATTTTTGGGCAAAGCATGAAATGTCTGTATTATTTTAATATGCCGTATACTTTCCCTAGGCATTATACAGAACGACAAATAAGTATTATTTAGGTAAAGTATGAAAATAGTCATGAAAAGGTCTTTATTGAAAAGACAAATAAAATATAAAAATGAAAAAAGAAATACAAAATAAAATATAGAACTTTCTTATTGGAAAAAAAAAAGAAAAAGAACAAACCAATATTGAACTATTTGTTGCAATAAGGAAAGTTAGAATGGCATGTTGAATTGTACTTGTCTTTCATAAATGTCTTTCATACAGTACCGGCCAAAAATATATTACTTTTAAGATGTTTGAGCATAACTTGGTTTAAAGTGTATGTATTAGATCATAACATATTTTGATAACAGGTGCAGCTTATCGCGAACGAAGTATTTTTAATCAAATAATATAAACAACAACTCGTGAAAAAATAACTTTATTTCAAATGTCCGAAGTACATTAAAATGAATAGTAAACTTTGAATAGCCATAACCATGTTCAATGTCAACAGAGGAGTACCAGATTCATAATTTAAATGAAATAACTCTAATATTTCGTAGCAAAACCTTTTGCATCGTTTACAGCTTGACGTCTGGGCATGGAATCAATGAGTGCATCGATTGTAGCTTGAAGGATCTTTTTCCATTCTTCTTCAAGTTGGGAGAACTTCTGGGCTGCATTCATAGCTCGCTTTCTTGCCAAACGTCTCTCCAGCTCTTCCCTGCATTTTAGTTGCTCGATGTTTCGGATCATTGTCTTGTTGGAAGATGAAACCGCGATCAAGGAAACGTTTTGTATATGGAAGCATTACATTCTAGAGAATGTTTATGTACACTATCTGATCCATAATGTCCTCGATTTTATGAAGGGGACCCATTCCTTTTCCGCGGAAAAAGTACCCTATATTATAACCGAACTGCCTCCATGCTTCATTGTAGGAAGTTGGTATTTGGGGTCAAAGCGTTTGCCTTCAGGGCGACGAATCCACTTTATTCCGTCACTACCAAACAGCATAAACTTACTTTCGTCGCTCCAGAGAACCGTTGCCGTGATGTCCTGTTAAGATATGCTTTGGACCACTCGCGCCTTCCGATTTTTCACTCAGAAATGAATAGCTTCTTCACAGATCGTCGACCATGTAATCCTGCGTCTTGCAGGCGACGGTGTATGGTACGTACAAATAGATTAGACTGGAGTCAATATTTCTTTAGCAATATCCGACGCCATGAGATGTGAGACGCTACGAGATGTACGCAAAATATTGCGATCGACGAGAGAAATAGTACAACGCGATCAGCCACGTGTTTTTTTATTAACAGAATCTTCCTAAATTTTTAAACGCTTAAGCAACTTGATCACCGCTGATTTGAAAATGCCAAAGTGCTGGACGAATTCTTTAAGCGCACGCCCTTATTTGCGACTTTCTACGATAGCTTTGTCGTTCATCCACATTTCGAACACCACAAGTCTTCGCCATTTTCTAAGATACTAAACTAATGTTTACAACCGTGTTAAAATAGCGACAGAATACATAAACATAACGAGTACACAAAGATTGTCAACGGACGATTTTGGAACAATCAATAAATATCTTTGAATATCATAATATATGTTGCAAAATTTTCTCATAAGAAATATTACACATAAAGACACGTAAATGACACCAGCTATCTGCTGTAAAAATTTGAATCTAGTTTCTTTACTGTGGAGGAAGTTATACTCAAAAATCCTAAAGGTGATATATTTTTAGCCGATACTGTATTTTAGCACTTGTTCTAGCACATACACCTCACAAAACCTTGACTGCTTCCTGCAGACTGAGCAAATAACAGCTGATCGAAGAAATATTTCGTGGTCAGAAACGTCTTCAACTCTGAGTAGTCTTTTGGATATAAGTCTTTTGGATATAAAATGAATTATAATCTGGGATAGAGTTGGTTCAAAATTTCTTGAGTAGTTTCAAGTCGGTGAAAACCGTCTTCCATTACACTCATTACAACTGCCAACAGATTGCACGAGTCACCCTGT